CTAGAAGATAAATCTCTTAACACTACTAAGACAGAAGAGCAAGCACAAAAAAGAATTGAAAAACCTGAGGAAGGCCTAAGATTCATGTTGGACAACATGAAGAGGAATAACTTAAGAGTTGGTGGCATTCCAGTACAGGAAGAATTACGTAAGTCCACAGAGGAGATAGCTGAAGAGCTTCTGTAAGAAAATTTCCCTAACATCCTGAAAAGTGAAAAAATAAGCATTCAAGAAGCTCAACGAACCCCAGAAAGGCTAGACCCTTAAAGACAATCACCAAGACATATAATAATCAAGCTCTCCAAAATCAAAGGACAGAGTCCTGAAAGCAGCTAGGGAAAAGAGAAGTGTTATATACAAAGGCAAGCAAATTAGATTAAGCTCAGGTCTCTCAACAAAAACCATGCAGGCAAGAAGGCAATGGGGAGACATATATAAAACCCTGAAAGAAAAAAAACCTGCCAACCAGGAATCCTCTACCCAGAAAAGCTATCAATCAAATATGATGGTGTAATCAAAACATTCCAGGATAAACAGAAGCTAACGGATTTTGCCAAAGCCAACCCTGCTATGAACAACATCCTAAAGGAAGTTCTGTGGACTGAGAACCAACAAGAACAGACAACCAGAGAATGACGTACGTGGCAGCATCACCTTGAACTCAGTTGACAAATGGAAGAATCAAGAAAAGAATAAAATGGTAAGAACAGAGGATCTGGGAGTTCAGTCTATGATCAAAACAATCACAATGTGAAAGAAGGTATTCAAAGTGCTAGAGCAGAGAGTGAAGCATGCAGCTGATATGAAGTGAGGGTTGATGCACAAGAACACCCAAACTTGCAAACAGTATCCATTTGACCTACCCTTAATGGTTTGATAATCAGAACTTGACTACAGGAAGATTACACACAAACACACAAAAAATTTTTTATAAATGCCACTGGACTATGAACCATAAGGTTGGCAGTTCATATCCACCAGCTGCCCCTCAGAAATGGTATACAGGGAGGCTATGAGTCGGAACCAACTCAACAGCACTTAACAAGAGAAGTTATAGGAATAACTGAAAGTCATATACTAGAACAATTCTAAATAAATTCAACAGACCTTCTACCCCCTGAGCTTTCACAGCACAACACACACCCTTTTCATAGGTAGTGCTTGGCACAGTGTAGGGTAGATATTGGTCTAACTCTGCCCCACTATGTTGCTTGATCCTTGAGGAGAAGGCCAAACGTTTCTTTGTGATCTCAGGACCTAAAACCATGCCTGGTATTTAGCAAATGTACCAGATAAATGGTTACGAGTTGGGCTGCGAACCTTAAGATCAGCAGTTTGAAACTACCAGCTGTTCCATGGGAGAAAGATGAGGCTTTCTGCTCCAGTAAAGATTTGCAGCCTTGGAAACCCTGTACAGGGTCGCTATGAGTCGGACACGATTCCACGGCACATAACCACCACCACCACCAGATAAATAAGTAAAAATATGAATAAATAAAACTGAGATCACTAGATGTCTTAGCTATCTAATGCTGCTACAACAGAAATACCACAAGTGGATAGCTTTAACAACTACAAATTTATTCTCTCACAGTGAGAAGACTAGATGTCCAAATTCAGAGTGCAGACTCCTGGGAAAGGTTCCTATCTCTTTCAGTATCTGTAGTATTCTTTGAAGTTTTGTAGTATTTTTTGCACCAGTATTCTTTGAAGCTCTCCATACATTTTGGTATCAGTCTTCCCCTGGATCAAGGAGCTTCACAGTGCAAGGACACCAGGTCCAAAGGACACACTCCACTCCTGGTTCTTCTATCTTGGTGGTAGTAGGTCCCTCCTCCTCTGTTCAAGTCCCTTTCTTTTATCTCTTAGTAAGATAAAAGGTATTGTATGCCACACCCTTGGGAATCTCCTAGAGATCAGAGTGGTGACTTGACTAAGGATGTTGTTGTTGTTAAGTGCCATCAAGTCAGTTCCAGCTCATAGTAACCTGAATAGTGTTTCCAGGGAGTGGCAGATGGGTTTGAAATGATAACCTTTCAGTTAGCAGTCCAGTGCTTATCCTACAGGCCACACTTACAAAGGTATTGTTGTTGTTAAGTGCTTTCAAGTTGTTTCGCTTCCAATTTATAGTTACCCTGTATAGGGTTTCCAAGGAGTGGCTGGTGAGTTTGAATCGCCAACCGTGTGGTTGAAACTGACCTTGTGGTCTAGTGCTTTATCCCCTTAATCCACCCTTAATCCTTTTATTGATTCAACCACCAAACCACTGAGAATACTGGCCAGTCAAGTTGACGTAAAACCTTTGAGTGTCGATATATCGAATATAGATAAATGAGGAAAAGAAATACATATACTCTGATAATAAGGTGTATTAGGTACTATTACTGTGCAACAAATGATCAACAAAATGTAGTGACTGAAAACAACAAAGACTTATCTTTTTAGTTTCTGTGGGCAGGAATCCTAAGGAAACTCAGCTGGGCCTCTGGCTTCTGTTTCTCATGAGGTTGTGGTCATCTCAAGACTTGTCAGGGTTGAAGGATCTAATTCTCCATTCATTCACATGCTTGTTCCTGCATGGGCTGTGGGACTGACCACCTCAGTTCCTTGCCACTTTATGTGAGCCTCTGCCATGGGGCTATTATAACAGTGTACTGTATTCCTACAGGATAAGTGACTCCAAACAGGGAGAGAGAGGCGAAGGTTTTTCGTAACTTAATATTAGAAGTGATCTCCCAACATTTTGCTATATTTTTTCCTCACAAGTGAGTCACGAAGTCCAACCCACCCTCATCTACACAAGGGTGTGAATTCTAGGGGATGGGAATCAATGGAGGGAGGGAGGTATCTAAGCAATGGATTGCCACATTGGGGAATAATGTACCCAAGAAGTAGAAAATGATTCAAAGTTGCTGAAAAGAAGAATCAGCTTGTGGTAGTTTGGAAAAATGATCACCCATTTCCACCCCTCCCTATACCTACACCCTTTGCAATGAAACTTGGTAGCTTTTCCTCATGTGAAGTAGAGTACATTTCCCATCCCTTGAGTCTGGGCTGACCTTGTGACATGCAATGTGGTAGAAGCAATGTTGTGCTAGTTTGGACCAGGGATCTTGCAGTCTCTTCTCTTTCAGAACCCTGTCACCACCATCTAACCAGTCGGAGCTAATCTATTTATTTTAGTAAATACACAATATATGTAACACATTTTCCATTTCAGCAGTCTACAAAGGATTAGGTTCTGGTTTTCCTGCATGTTTTATTTCTTCCATGCCCCATGTACTGATTTTTCCTCAGACTGAATTTTGTCACATTTGAAAGTAGCTATCTCAATTGCCTATTGTATAACAGATTTAGCAAAAGAATCCCAGTTGCAGGTTTAGCTGATTGTCAAGACGTCCCTAAAATCTGGCTGCCATAACATGAGTCTTGCATTCCACTAAACAAGGAAAATAGAACTCATACCTGCATTATCCCTGATACCAAAAATAGGGTTCAGCCTCTGGTAGCGTAGTGGTTATGAATCAAGCTAACTCAGGTTCAGCAGTTCGAAACTACCAGCTGTTCCGCTGGAGAGAGATGAGCCTTTCTGTTCCCGTAAAGATTTACAGCCTCAGAAACCCTGTACAGGGTCGCTGAGTCGGAACCAACTGCACGGCACATAACAATTTTCTGTGTAAGAGGGCTTGTTAAGTGCCACTGAGTTGGTTCCAACTCAGAGACGCTGTATAGGGTTTCCGAGAGGCAGCTGGTGGGTTTGAACTACTGGCCTTGGCTTAGCAGCCCAGCGCTTATCCTAGTGCCACACCAAAACTCAGGAGAACTTAGAGACAGTCACCAATCTTTCAGTTAGTTGTCTATCACACTTCACCAGCATTAAGCAAATTTCAGCTCTTTACAGCAACTCTTTCAGAAAAGATGAGTGGCTCTTAAAAGAGCCTTTGGTTTGAAGCCGGTACAATTTTTAAAGCTTATGCCAGGCCTTACGAATCGGGCTGCGAACCTTAAGGTCAGCGGTTCGAAACTACCAGCTGCTCCGCGGGAGAAAGATGAGGCTTTCTACTCCCGTAAAGATTTACACCCTCGGAAACCCTGTACAGGGTCGCTATGGGTCGGAACTGACTCGACGGCACTTAACAACAACAACATGCCAGGCCTTAGGCTCGCTCTCCACTGATGCGGCGCGCGAGCTGGATGTCTTTAGGCATGATGGTGACACGCTTAGCGTGGATGGCGCACAGATTGATATTCTCAAAGAGCCCCACAAGGTAGGACTCGCACACCTCCTGCAGCGCCGTCACCGCTGAGCTCTGGAAGCGCAGGTCTGTCTTGAAGTCCTGCGCGACCTCCCGCACCAGGCGTTGAAAGGGTAACTTGCGGATCAGCAGCTCTGTGGACTTCTGAAAGCGGCGGATCTCCCGCAAAGCCACCGTGCCTGGCCGGTAGCGGTGCGGCTTCTTGACGCCTCCAGTAGCTAGGACACTCTTCCGGGCTACCTTGGGGGCCAGCTGCTTTCGAGGAGCTTTCCCGCCTGTAGACTTGCGCGCAGTTTGCTTGGTGCGAGCCATGGCTACTTCCTCCAAGTCACTAATAAAACTTCAACCACTCTTCCACCGATGACAAACTACTGCCTGAGGACACTGTATTTATAGATGCCACTGCATTCTGATTGGATGAGATCCGAATCACGTGAGATGAAGTGCTGCATTGTGATTGGCTGGTATGGTTCACCACTTGGTTTCCAACCATTCTGCCTTCCTCCTGATGGTGGGGGTTGACCTTTAGCCCTTTGCCTGTTCTGGGGTAATCCGTACTCTGGCAGAACTTGGAGAGTAGTGTGGGTTCATAGAGTCACCGATGTCTTCTTTCTCCCCAGACGTCTTGGTCTTCTTTTTTCTCACACGTTTTCTTTTTGCTACACAGTTCTGATCATTTTCTGTCAGTACATTCCCCCTTCCCCTCTTCCCGCCACCTCACTCGTGGTTGTGACTGAGAGAACCTTCTAGAACCAAATGTCTCCGTACTCAGCCCTTGCCTATTACACAGCATCCTTGTCTTCTTTTCCCTGTTAGGGCTAGGGTAGGCTCACTTGTGGTGCATGAGTGTGGTATCTGCCTGTTCACCAGGTTCCAGGCCTTTGTGGGTGAGAGAGTTCTGACAAGTTCGCTCCAGAGTCCTCCAGTCAGTCCCAAGGGTCTGTAGTATGGATTTATTTGTATCACCAGGACTACTAAGGAGTGGTTACAAGTCAGGCTACTAACCTCAAGGTCGGCAGTTGGAAACTACCAGCTGTTTCCGGGTGAAAGATGAGACTTTCTACTCCCTGAAAGATTTGCTGCCCCAGAAACCCTGTGCAGGGTCACTATGAGTCGGAACGGACTCCACAGTACTTAACAACAACAACAAAACCCTATACAGGGTCACTATGAGTTGGAACTAACTCCATAGCACACTACCACCACCACCACCACCAGGAAGGACTACTGGCATGATGTATCACCCAGGCACTTACTATGATCTTTCAGCATGGGGCTCAGAAGCTGCAGAGGGGATTTCTGTTTCATTGGAACCAGAAGAGAGTGTCTTATTTGAGGACTCATCTTTTCCAGTCAGGAGTGCTTTCATTTTGTGGTGGTTCTCAGGAACTTCGAGCAGCAGCATTATCCAGAAATAAGGCAAATGCAGCCTGACACTATGTATCTGAGCAAGCAACAAAAGATGGTAATTTAAGGTGTCTCTGTGTGGCGTGCTTGATTACTAGCCAAAAGGTTGGCAGTTCAAAATCACCCAGAGGTGCCTTGAAGACAGGCCTGGCAGTGTGCATTCAAAAGGTCACAGCCTTGAAAACCCCCTGAAGCAGTTCAATTCTGCACATATGGGGTTAGCATGAGTGGGAGTCCACTCCATGGCAACTAACAGCAACAATGTGCATCATCTTTGTTGTTCGCCCACCTCCCTCAGCGGGATTAAATACCATGATCTATATTACATGCAAAACTAACAGTTTGTTTTCATGACCTTTGGTTAAGTTCCCTTCGGTTTCTACCTGTAAGAGGAACTAGGGCCAGAAAAGAAAAATGTCCCTGAAAAGTAATTTTCAAAGAGAAGGTATTTCATTGATAAATTCAAGAGTGCTTCAGATACAAACATTTTAGAATACGTGTCTAGAGTACATGTGTTATATAGATGGTGTTTGTTTGGGGAGGAGTGCAAGAGTTTAAAGCAACAAAGGTAAATACTATTATACATACAATTCTGCTATAACAATGATCGATGGGGAAATATATGGACAGACACACAGACTGAACAGACATGGGAGGGAGAGTGGGAGTATATCCACAAATGTAAAAAGATTTAGCAGGATATTTATACCTTTGCTGAAAACATATACATGAATGTGGTGGAGAATACAGTGGGCAAAATTACAAGAACGTCTTAGACATTACCAAACAACCTGGAGGAATGAGTTTAGACTTGGGGCCTCAGAAACATTATCTGGGAGACACCTCTGTTAATTGGCATTAACATATGTCACAAAGAAAATGTGCTGCAATCCTACTTTGATGAGTAGTGACTGGGATCTTAACAGCCATGAGTGGCTATCTAAAATGAAATTACTGGTTTCTTCCTGTCCAAAGGAAAGAAGAGTGGTGAAAACTGAAGACTCCTGGAAGCAGTTAGTTTAATGGATTAATGGACCACGTGAATATTAAAAAAGTGTAGGAGACAATGTGGAACAAAACTTAAAATCATAAAAAAAAAGACCAGGTTGAGATAGGCTGGTGGAACTCTGAGAATATAGCCCTTGGTCGACCCCCCTGAAGGTCAGGAATTGAGTTCCCAAGACTCAGTTTTCAGCCAAGCAATAGATAGGTATCAGGAGGGAAACTAGTGAGGGATGATGCACAGCATAGAATGGTCAACCATTTGAGATCAAAAAGGCAGCAATTACTGAAAGACAAAGTTCACAAGGTTGGGGGAAAAGGGGAATGGAAATAAGAAACAGGGAGGTAGTGAGACTATTTCAGACTTCTGACCTCCAGAACTAGAAGATAATAAATTCACATCGTTTTACACCACTAAGTTTTCGGTAATTTGTTGTTAGCAACAATGGAAAACTAATAGACTGATACTAAATTGAATCAATTAGTGGATAGTCATTGGAACCTAGATAATTTTTAAGTAAGAAAATATAGAACTGCTGTTTACTAAACATAATTTGAACATTTTTAAAAATAAGAATATTAAAAAGTGAAACTATTATTTCTCAATATATCCTCCATTTAAGTCTATACACTTCTAAGACTGTATTTCCATCTCTGTAACTCTTAAGCGACTTTTGGTGTGGTACTAGAGGATCAGTACTAGACTGAAAACCACAAGATCAGCAGTTCAAACCCACCAGTTACTCCTTGGAAATCCTATACAGGGTTGGTATGAGTCGGAACCAACTCGATGGCACTTCTCAGCAACAGCTCTTTCTGGTGTAGCGCTGCATGATAAGCCCAGGACTGACTGCTAACTTCAGTCGCTCCTTAGAAACTCTATACAGGCTTGCTATGAGTTGGAACTGACTCAATGGCACTTAACAACAGCAAGTCTATCCCAAAGAATTCTGCACTCTTCAATTTACACCACATCAAAGCAACGGTTTTGACATGCTCAAGGGACTCACATTGTGTCCCTTTTAAATGTTCTTTGAATTTGGAGAACAAAAAGAAGTCCGAAGAGCTGTAGAGTGGATAGGGTAAGGTTTCCCGACACTATACTCATAGGACAGCCCTTGCTACCCTCAAAGAGTGAGCAGGTACTTTGTCATGATGGAAAATTCCTTGGTGCAACAACTGCCCTGATCATTTTGTCACCAATGTAGTTTTCAGTTTTCTTATAGTTTCTTCTTAATAATCCTCTGTATTCTTCTTGTGTCTTTCAAGAAAATATATCAAGATTACCCCTTTGGAATCCCCCAAAACATTTGACATGCCCTTCTGAACTAACCACCTGCCTTGAACTTAGCTGGCCCAGCACCTAGGAAGCCTCTGTTTTGATTGGACGTTTTTTAGAAAGCACACTAATGAGACTAAGTGTATTACTGACAGAACTTGTAGGCAGCCATTCACTGATTACAGAGGCATGGCTAAACACAGTTTGTTTGGAATGAACC